GCTCCTGGGAAGATGTACGCCTAAAGCCCACACTGGAGCAAACATGCAAGGCAAGGACCTGGCAGAGGGCACAGGCTCCTGAGCAGGTACTCAGGGGCCTCTGAGGCACAGTGCATACCACCATAGAGCCAGCACTGGAGCAGACCCACATGTACACACATGGGGCACTGATGTTGAAGAAACCAAGTCAAATGAAAAGTCCCCATAAAGAAAAATTCAGAACACATGATTTCATGGATGAACTCTATCAAATATTTAAAGAAATAATAGTAGTCCTTCACAAACTTGCAGAAAATCTGAGGGAGCACTTCCCAACTCATTCTAAGGTTCCACTATTAACCACAATACCAAAGCCGAAGACATTGCATGAAGTAATACTACCCAGCAGTATTCCTCATGAACATAGACACAAAAACCCTAAATATAATATTTTAAAATCAAATCCAGGGGCTGGGGATTTAGCTCAGCGGCAAAGCGCCTGCCTGGCAAGCGCAAGGTCGTGAGTTCGGTTCCCGGTACCAGAGAAAAACCAAAAAAAAAAAAACAAAAAAAATCAAATCCAGCAACATATTAGAAGGATTTTACTATATGAGCAAGAGTAATGGTCATGGGTTATTTTAACCCCAGGAATGCAAGGTTAAAATAAGGCTAGTAAAAAAATAATACTAATAGATCAATTAATGTTATAAATCATAATAACAGAATAAAAGAACAAACCCACCTGATCATCTCATGAATGGAAAATAGCAACTTCTCCAACATTTCTTCATATACATTCCCAACAATTTAGGATAGAAGGAAAGCCCCTCAAGGTGATGAACATTTATGAACAACAGTTAATATGAAGCCAGTCATTGTGGTGCAACCCTGTAATCCCGGTACCTCGGAAGGTTCAGACAGGAGATTGAGAAGATCAAGTTCCACCTGAGAAAATTATTGACACCCTATCTTAAAATAAAAAATAAAATGGGCTGGGGTAATAGGTCAGCGGCAGAGATCCAGAGGGTGTGATCCTAGTACTACCAAAACAAACAACAAAAGGTACACACACAAACAGCTAACATGATATTTTATAGCAAAAGAGTCAATGCTTTGCTCCTGTGATCACAAGTCAGGACAAGTCAGAAATCGCAGCTCTCTCCATTGCTACTCAGCAATGCAGCAGAGGTTGTAGCCTATGTAACCAGGGCAAAGAAGAAAGTAAAGGCCTCCAGATGGAAAGGAACAAGTAAAATTCTCCTTATCCAATTTCGTATTATATCCAAATAATGATACTTATATAGAAAATCATATGAATTCACACATACAAAAAAAATAACCTGCTAGAAGTAATAATCATGGTCAGCAAGGTTGCAGTATACAACAATCAACTGTACTTTTATGTACTAGAAATAATCTAGTCATGAAATTTTTAAAACATTTCTATCCATGATAGCATTAAAATGAAAAACTTCAAGATAAACTTAACAAAAGGGCAAGATTTTCACACTAAAACAAATACTGATGATAAATTAAAGATCTAAACAATTGGAAAGCTATACCATGTTCATGTTGAGATGGCAATTCTTCCCGAAAGAGATCTACAGATTCAATTCCTATCCAAATCCATTGCAGCAAGGTTCTTTTAAAAAAAATAACAAGCTGTTACTAAAATTTATATGCAAATAAACTCAGAACAGCCAAAACAATTTGAAAAAGAAAAACACTGGAAAACTTATATTTCCCAACTTCAAAATTTACTATAAAGCTTCCACAGTCATGGCAGCCTGATAATATGTTAAGAGTAGGGACACAGATCGCTGAAATAAGAAAAGACAGTCTACAAATAAACCCTTATATTTTAGTCAACTGATTTTTTTTACCAAGGTGCCAAGGGTACTACAAAGAGAAAGGACAATCTTTCTTTCTTTCTTTCCTTTTTTTTTTGTCTTTTTGAAACAGGGTCTCACTATGCAGTTCAGGCTGCCCTTTGGGCTCACTTTGTAGCACAGGCTGGTCTCAAACTCACAATGATCCTCCTGCCTCAGCCTCCCGAGTTATGGGATTACAGGCATGCGCCACCACACCTGGTTTGAAAGGACAATTTTTCAACAAATAGTGCTGGGATAACTGTATACCCACATACAAAAAGAAAAAACAAAAAGAATTTAGACACATTCCTTATACCATACACAAAGTCACTGGAAATTGATGGTAGACTTCAGCTGTGACCCAAAAAAGGAAAAAATTATAAACTAAGTTTCCAAAACTTTAACATGAAAAAAATGAAAAGACATGTAACAGATTTAGGGAAGTTATTTACAAAACATATCTGATAGTCACCCTGTATCCAGAATATACAAAGAATTCTTACAACCTAACACAATAATAAAACAAACATACCAGCTCAAAAAATAGACAAAAGATTTAAATAGACACTTCAAAAAAGACAGGAATGGCTAATAAATGGGACTATATGTTCAATATCATTAGGCAATGGAAAAATCCAAAATAAAAACACAGTGAGATACCACATCATAACCACAGGACAGCTATAATAAAGATATAATAATAAGTGTTAGTAAGGATGTGGAAAAGTCAACCCCCACGCCCTCCTTACATTGCTGGAGGGAGTGAGGAATGATTACAGCCACACTGAAAAACAGTTTAGTAGATTCTTAAAAAGCTAAACTTAGTATACAAACCAGCAATTCTACTCCAAGAAAAATAAAAACATATGTCCAAAGGCTTGTACACAAATGTTTAGAGCAGTGTTATTCATTATAGCCAAAAATAAAAGCAACCTAAATGTCCATTAACTGATAAACAAAATGTGGTACATAAAATCAAATACTTCAGCAAAACCCAGAACAAACTACTGATACATGTCACTACATACATGAATCTCAAAAAACATTATGCTGAGTGAAAGAAACCAGATACAGAGAGCACCTATATTATAAGTCCACTTACAAAATATCTAAAGGGTAAATCTATGGATACAGAAAGCAAATCAATGGTTTCCTTGGGCTGAGTGTGGGGGCCAGGATTGACTATAAACTTACATCTGCAACTTGTTAAATTGATGCAAATATTTTTAAGCTGATCGTGGTTATCATAGGACAATTACCAAAATTTACTAAACTTGCAAAAAATCACTTGTTTAGAAAACATAGGATGAAACCTGCTTTTCTTGTAACTATAGAAAAGTTCGAGGACCGAATTATTGAGGAAGACTGTAGATTCTCCTTGCTGTTTTGCTCTCCCTAAGATTATATACTGAGACCATAGTCTCCAGTGTGATGGTGTTGAGATGGTGTAACTTTTAAGGATGAAGCCAAGTGGGAAGAACTTAAGTCATAGGCGGCACCACTCTCAGAAGGAATTAACGTAGTCCAGGGTCATTATAAAAAAGAGAGACCCTAGCTTCTGAATCTCTTACTTCCTGCCTCATCATGTGATCTCTTCCTTTTGCACACACTCATCATAATGTTATCTACCAAGTTGTGATGTGGCCAGATGTTCACCAAAGCCAAATGATAGCACCATGCTCTTAAATTACCAGAACTGTGAGCTAAATAATTTTTCTATAAAAGGTACCCCACCTTAGGTATTGTTATAGCAACAAAAACTAATACACTCCTATATAACAGGGTTTTTTTTGTTTGTTTTGAGACAGATCTATGTAGTTTGGGCTGGCCTTGAACTCACTATGTAGTCCAGGCTGGCCTTAAACTCTTGGCTATCCTTCTGCCTCAGCCTCCCAGGGCTGGGATTACAGGCATGTGCCACCATGCCTGGCTATGTAACAGTTCTTAGCAGGGAAATGATTTCTATATGCCCAAGAAAGTTATAAGGAGCCTAACAGAATGGCCAATATTGCAAGGCCCTTTTTACACCAAGCCCAGATGATGATGATGATGATGGTGGTGGTGGTGGTGGTGGTGGTGGTAGTGATGCTTGTTATTTTGTAAAAAATAAAATACTCAAGATTTGTACTGTTCTATGAATTGTTTTTCCTTCACCAGTTTTACTACATTTTTTCCTGAAACACAAAATTCAATGTACCTCTCCCATAGGTGTTCTTTCATATTAAAATGTTAGTCATTCAGGACCCATAAAAAAAGAATATCCATATCCCCTATACCAAAATAAAATTTTAAAAGATCATTTCATGCTGGATTCCAGCCTGATTTGAGGCTCTACCACTACCAATCAGAGCCAACACTCGTGTGATATTCCTGTAGGTCTCTCTGCGGCTTAGATGATCAATCCAACTTTCTACTGGCCAACACGGCCTCTCTATGGATGGTTCTCATAAATACAAAACTTGAGTAATTGTTACTGGAACTACTTGTTGAAATATGGAACTGGTTAAAGGTACCATTTATTTTTTAAATGTACACGTACACATACATACAGCCATTCAGCTTCCACATCCAGCCAATAAATATTTTAAAAAGACAGAACAAAAAATACCAACAGTTTGCTCTTCTTTCCTGTGGTCTTAACCAATGCCTTTCAAGGAATCGTGTAGTATGACAGAATGAAAAAATGAATTTAAATATATCATATACAAAAGTATAGTAAGCCCAATTCTAAAGAAGTAAGAATTTTACTCTGGAGGAAGAGACGATAGAGACCTCTGATAGACTACTATATATGTTTACTTCCACGCCAATCTAGTATAGTACATTACACAGAAACATCAAGTATAATAGATAAAGTCATAGTAAAGAAGCTCTATCTAAGCCAGCCCATGGGATGCATGATCCCAACAACATGCTTTCCCCTCCCTCCCCTCTTGAGGGAGGTAATGAGAAAATGCTCTGAAAGGTCTGTCAACGAAGGTGTGTGACATTCATAAAGAGCTGAAGTTGGGTACCCCAAATGTACTCTATGTGATAAATGTCAGTGAGTGAATCATATCACAGTTTTAGCTGTATTAAGTGGGGAACAAGTTAGACTGAAACCATGAGGAGCCCAAGAACTTTCAAACTGTTTTAGATCAGCCCAAAAACCTTTGCTGGAAAATTCTTTGGCCCTTTTCCGTAAGACTGCGTCTCAAACTTCTCACTTTTCAAGACTTCCAAATCTCTTCTCAGATCGGGAAAGAGCCTATACAACAGGATCACAGAATTAAGATTCACAGTTGTAAACGCACCTATCTAAAAAACATGTAAAAGAGCAAGGCAACAAATGACACTCAAAATAGTTCTCAAGAGCATTGAAAACGATTTGCCCTAGTACTCAAGGAGTTGTGGGAAGACAGCGGCGCATCAACCACTCCCCTCCGTTCCGCGCTGAAAGACAGGGAGTTAGGGCCAGCAGCGGCGCAGGGCTCCTCTAATTGGGACATGGGGAAGATCGGGCCAGCTGCAGTGTGACGGATTAAAAAGGAAAAGCTTGGGGCTGGGAGTTTAGCTCAGCGGCAAAGCGCCTGCCTGGCAAGCCCAAGGTCGTAAGTTCGATTCTGGTACAGGAAGAAAAACAAAACAAAACAAAAAAAAAAAAAGAAAGAAAAAGAAAAAGCTTTTCACGATCCCACAGATCCAACGCAAAAAAAAAATTCACCTTTGCTCCTCTCCTTTAAGACCTAGCTGCCTGCGCTCAAGGAACAACAATAACAAAAAAACCACCAAAATGCCAACTCCTCGCTCCCTCGGCTCGAAGCGGGAGATCCCTTCAAGAACCCACTGCAGACCCAACCCTGGGCTCGTCCCGCCCTGCACCACGCCCTCAGCCCACGCCCCCAGCTCGCTGGCCCACTAAGGCCCCGCCCCTTCGGACTGGCTCCGCCCCTCAGCGCGTGGCCCCGCCCACACCCTCCCCTCTCCTCGGACCCCACACCCCGCAGGACCCCCGCTCACGCACCCTCAGGCGCAGGACGGACAGTCTCGCGAGTCTTCCGTCTCTTTCCCCCACCTCCACACACACCCTGTACCTCCGGCACCCCAGCTGACGCGCCGGCTAGATGCCTCAGAAAAGCGCCCGTCTTCCCTTCGTTTTGCGGCCTCTCTCTTACCGGGTGGTCCTCGCCAAAGCTGCTTCAGCAGTTTAGGCTGTGGCGAGAAGGAAGCCACCGCCCTGCCTCTGTGGCTTAAAAACTTGGCTTGGTCTCGTATTGCCTTTTTGTTTTGTTTCAACTATTTTGAAATTTTCCCGCGAATGTCCGGCAGTGGGGCTGCGCGCGCACTTATGGGTCCGCAGTGCATTCTGGGCCGTGGCGTGCGGCCTTGCGCGCACGGGCTCCTCTCGTGAGACTTCCGAGGATTTAGGGCCCTGGGGACGGCGGAGGGGGGTGGGGGGCAGGGAAATGCGCTGGACCGTGGGGCGGACCCAGCGGGTAGTGGGGGGCCGGGGTTGTCACAAACCTTGGGGTTTTTTCATCCAGCTACTTACCAGTTATTTTAAGATTTGTGTTCAAGAGCAGAGGAGGTTAAAATAGAAATTAGTTCTTTTAAAAGTAACTGAGGCTTTGTCAGTAGAGTAAAACCTCTAAACAGCCCTAGAATATGACTTTCTAGTTGTTTTCAACAACAAAAGAGGTATTTTTCGGGTTAATGCGTACCCTATACCAGGCCTGTACTATGTTTAAGGTTTAAATCAGGTTAAAATTGTATTTAAAGCCATTTAGATACATGGGAAGAGCGTTTTCTAAGATTTCCATCCATGTCGGTGGTATTAGCTTATCTTAGGTTGTTTTTTATTCATGATTTAGTAATGCAGGAAAGTTTTAACAGAACTTTAAATGATACAGTATAGCACTCCGGAGGCTTAGGCAGGAGGACCACTGGGAGTTCGAGGCCCGCCTGGGCTACAAAGTGAGTTCAAGGCCGGCCTGAACTACATAGGGAGACCCTGTCTCAAAAAGGCAAAAAAAAAATATATAGATAGATACAATAATCTGAAGAATATAGCCACAATATTTAGAATTGTTTACATTGATGTCTCATAACCATAATTATATTTGTAAAACTACTTCACATATGCTTCTAAAAAGTAAAGTATGTATATAGTAAAATTGGCTCTTAATTATTTAAACACAAGCTATTCATATAATTAAGGGATACCTATTTTACCAGAGGCTGAATTCAATTCGGAGATTTAAGTTACCAGAACTATAAAGCTCATAAGTGATACAATGAATGCATATGGTAGGGATAGCAACAAAATTCTAAAGAAAAAATATAGTAAAGGGACCTGATCTAAAACTGGAGGCCAAAAGGGCAGAATCTGGAATGTGTGAGCGCCTTCTTTACGCTATCCCTGCCAACTAAAGAGGTCCATTTTCTTTAAGTATGCCTCCTGTGATGTGGCCACTGTGTGTGTTTGAGTGACACTCATTGTGACACTTTGGCTACAAGAAAGTAAGGCTCGTGGTGGGAAATTTTAAATTAATGTTTTAGTCCTGCAATTACTAGCAAACAAAGCAATGAAGCTATGTATTTCTTTAGAGAAAGTGTCTTATTACATATGAAACGTCCTTTTTACATACGAAATGTGATCCAAAAATACAGTGAATGTTAACTTTAAAAATTTATTACAGTAAAAGACACATCACTTCAAAATATTCCTCCCTGCTTATCCCATTGAGATAAGAGATTATAGGCACATGGCAAAAGCTGGCTGGGGAAGTAGGCATGACCTATAACTACAATATCCCAGACACGTGCAGAGCAGTTCTCGAAGCTCTGCTTGTGGACTTCCCTGGAGAACTTGAGCAGGTTTTCAATAGAATAGCCTGGAGCTGATGTCATCCTGAAGCTTGGAACCCCAGCACCACCTCTCAGGACCCCTATATAGAAGTTTCATGCCTTTCCTGGAGATTTGGGCTTAAAAAGGAAAGTCAGCCATGAGGAGCATTTCTATTGTAACTTTCCACAGTAGCCCACACTGTATTTCCCAGACACAGAGTGTATTTTTATCTTTGCTTTCACCCTCTGTTTTTCTTTATTCGGCCTATTCTTGCTCTACAGAGCCAGTTTCTCCTCAATTCTTTACTTTTGCTTTCTTGAATAAACTTTGCCATTGCTTTTTGCTAGTTTTGTTCAATTCTTTGTTCGATCTGAGAAAAACCTGGAATCTTAACTCCAGAAGAAAAGGTAAGCTACCCAGAACCCGGTAATGTTTAGTTGCCAAGCCACTTTTAGAGTCAGACTACCTAATGACACCATCATTCCTGCCACTTTCTGAAGCGCTTCTAGAAGTTCTGTTTCATGAGTGCTTTTAGTTGCACTGTGGTGGCTCCCTACATGTCCTGAATCAATTCAAAACATTTACCTGTCATGGTCATATTGACTTCGGGGAAGACACAGAAGTCATATGGTGCCAGATGCAGTAAAAAAGATGGATGAGGCCATAGCATGGTGTTTTTACAAGCTTCCCTTTCCATTGGATGGCACTTGGCAGCAGCATTCACCATTTTTTTTTTTTTATCACATTTCATAAAGACAAGAGAGACTTCTAGAACTGCACCAGAAAGCAGCAAGAACAATGAAATAAGTGTGCTCAAAATGAGGGGGAGTATTCTGGGGAGAATTAATAGCATTTATTACAGTGTCATTCACTGTAATCAATTTTAAAAATTTGAACATTCACTATGTATTTCAGTCACCTCTTTGGTGAAGAAACATTTCTAGTGTTTGTAGTGTTAATTGAGATCTTGCCATCTTGCAGTGTTATGTCCTTTTAACCCAGTAGTTAATAAAGAATTTTTAAGTTCATGCAACTTTGCCAGTATATGAAATGATACCATATGTAGGTGTAAATCGTATATAAATGGAAAGCATTTATAGTATAAGGATCCAAATTTAAATCTGTGGGGACTTATGGACACTTTAATCTGACAGCCATATATTTGGAGGTATCCTAATTAATACTTTAAGCAAAAATGAGATGATCTCTTTTCACAAATCTTATTTTTAAATGAATCATAAAATGGCTTATGTGTGCCTCTGCAAATCAATTTGGTTTTAGTATAGAGCTTAATCATACTTAAATAATGTGGCAAAAATGAAACTTTTAAGAGGTGGGGGCCTCTTGGGAGGTTTTAATTTACTGGGGGAATGTGCTCAGTATGAGTTTGTAAGATCCCAACTTCTTCATCTTCTGCATCTTTCATTTCCAGCCATAAGATGAGTGAGCTTTCTCTGCCATGTGCTCTCACCATGATGTACAGTCATGCCACAGGCCCAAAAGCAATGGATCTAACCAACCATGGGTGTTTTACATCCAAAACTATGAGCCGAAATATCATCCCTTTTTAGTGCTGGGGATTGAACCCGGGGCCATTACACTGAGCTACATCCCCAGCCCCTTTCTAATTATTATTATTTTTTTTATTTTGAGATAGGGTCTCACTAAGTCACTAAATTGCCAAGGCTGGGCTTGAACTTTCAGTCCTTCTGCGTCAACCTCCTAGAGTGCTTGGATTACAGGCATATGCCACCAGGCCCAACCCCTCCTTATAAATTATCTGAAGTATGTTGTTACAGAACCAGAAAGTTGACTCACACAGTGTAGCCATGTGACTCAGCTGTCTTAGACCATCAGTTACCTTCAAGGATGGTATTTGTGGGATGAAGACAGCTGAGCAAAGGGCTGGGGATTTAGCTCAGTGGCACAGTGCCTGCCTGGCAAGCACAAGGTCGTGAGTTCAATTCCTGGTACTGGAAAAAAAAAAAAAAGCTGAGCAAAAACAATGAAAAAGACTCTGGGTCCTCAACAATCATAGGAATTATGGGGTTTGACTGACTCTAGACTTTCTTAACAAGACAGAAAAATATGTTTCTATTTTGCTTAAGCTGGTGTTGTTCAGTTTCTGTGGTCCCAAAACTAAGCTGAGGTGCATAGTAGGGTCTGAGGTTATTGTGGTGAAAAGATATATGTACCCTGTCTGTGGGGCTTAATCTAGTAAAGGCAATCTTCCTTTAATTAATCAACATCTACTCTTCCTACAGCATAGATCAATAGCTTCATATTTTTCAAAATGAGGTAAACTCAAGAGAATAGCAAATTTCTTTTAAAAAAAAAATGGTACAAAGGTACATGAGGGGACATAGGCCATACAGGAGACAAGATAGGAAACTCTTTTATCTACTTACTAATGTTCTGCGAATGTTGGAGGACAGAGAAACAACCCTGCCAGTCTCTTACATATAATTTGCAGGAAACAAAAATCTGTTCTTTCTCCATTGAGCAATGATACATACACCCTGTTTCAAAATAACATTAAGCCAGTTTTAGTCCAGTGTTCTTTAGTCCAGCAAAACATATATTCTTATTTAGAGCACAAATCCCTCCAGTCATGGTGTATTGTAACTAATCTAGCACATTTTCACTGCAGAAAGTAATTAGTTACATTTTTTAAATGAGTGCATGGCTTAAAAATAGTTTTTCTCATAAGCATTTAATAATGACTCATTTAGCATGAAATTAATATTACAGAACTGCTAAGAATAACCATTTAAAAAATTCCAGTTAAAAAAAAAGACATTATGCACATTTGTGACTTAACTAATTCTGGCAACCATTAACTCAAAAATAAGTAAATTTCATCCATTTTTGTCTTTGTTTCAAATTAACCCTTAAATTGCTTATTGTGTTCCAATAAGACTAGTTAACTACATGTTTTTATGTATTCATGCACTAAGTTAAGGATTCAATGCACTGAAGTCATACAATAAAACAACTACTGCTTGAGAGGGGAACAAACTTCAAATGCAACATTAAGATTCGCATATGTTACACAGTACTTTCATTCTTCATGCTCCAAGACCTCTAAGGGCAAGTAGAACAATCTAACATTTAATGAACACTTATTATGCTTCAGCCTTTTTGCCAGGCACTTTACATGTATTATCTCATTTGATTTTGTTTCTCTGACATAACTTCATTACAAATAAATGTAATAAAACTGTCCCTTCTATTTTGTACACAAGTCAGTAAAGATTTAATGCCTCAGAAGAAGTAATTTTAACTATGAAAAAATTTCAGGACAGCAAGTGGCAGAATATCATTGATAGACAACTACCTCCCTTTGTTTATGTTTAGGACTCTACAAATTTTAGAAGTGTTTTCATGCTACCTCCAGAATCTAAAAGCCTTCAGTGCCACAGAGAGGAAATGGCAAAAGAGCCAAAAGGTAAATTTCAGAATTAGAAGACAGACAAAGACCGGAGGAAGGCAAGGAAAACACAC